TAAAAATAAGGGTAACTTTGTATAAGTATATCTATTTCGAAAATTAGTAGTTTTTGAAATATTTGCAATTCAATATTTTTCCATTACTATACGGTTTTTGAATTCTGTCAGTTGGCCATGACGGCGAGGCGTTAGAAAACAATCAATTGATACGATAATGTCACTATTTGTCATTTGCAAATTGTCAATAATAAATCATGCCGTGACGATTGAATTACACAAACGAAGATTATTTGAATTTATTTATATTTACGGAGAATGTATGAAGTTATTTCAAGGACATAATTTCGTTAAGCGCGTCCAAATTTAAATAAAACAGTGTGTGAGATATCATCGAATTTTTTTATTCGTTTGAAAGACCTATTGATGCCATTATGTGTGAAATATAACTTCGTTAAAATGTCCGCCACGACCGATGACAAAAGTTATGTTGGCTTTGAGGACCACTGTGGTTTGTGGCTTATTCAAACGCACCTGCGACTTGAGAAAAAGTCACATCCGCGTGAGATTACCATGCCCTCAAATCGCTTGTGTAGAATATCTAATGTGGCATGAACTGTGTGGCACGTAGCGCCGTCCTGTTGAATCCACATGTTGTTGGTGTCCAAATCATCCAATTGAGGCCAAAAGACACTCATGGATCTGATGTGGATTGGTATCGTTCCAAATTCGACAATTTTGTTTGTTCGCGTACCCATTCATCCAGAAATGGGCCTCATCGCTGAAGATGATTTTTCGATGAAAATTAGGGTCAGTTGCCAACTGCTCCAGAGCCCATCTAGCGAACACACGTCGTTGTCTATTATCATTTACCTTCAGTTAGTGGGTCAGTTGAATTTTGTACAAGGGCAGGCCCAAGTCACTTCGCAAAATTCGCCAAGTTGTGGTTTGCAAACGGCGGAGTTCTTGTGAGCGACGCGAAATCGACTGCCTCGGATACTCCTGCGCATTTTCACAGACATCGGCGATGTTTTCGGCTGATCTTGCGTTTCGTCGACATACGAGTGTTGGTAGATCTTTTACTGAACTTAAATTCATCCACCACATTGCTAATAGTATCTTCAGTAGAAGGATTATGGCGACCCTAAAGCAGGCGAAGCGCGCGGTACGTTGCCCGAACAGAACACGCATTTTTATAAAACAATTTTATTATTTGCACGTGCTGTTGAATGCTATATCCATCCATGATGATTTGGAAAACAGACTGAATAAATGATAACTAATTTGACAGATGTATCTAGCTTTAACAAGATGGCCGTTATCAACTGTCAAAGTTCTGAAGTCCCTGTTAGAAGACCATAATGTAAATAGTCCCATAACAGTGTTAAATTCATCGAAATTTTTCCAAAAGTATGACGCAAAAGTTTATTGATTTTTAAGCTGTTTCTGGATACATTTAATCAAATGCTGTCAAAAAGTAGTTTCAAATTGTTGGAAAAATTGACTGAAGTTAATCTCGAATTTAGTTGCAAACCCTGTTGCCATTTCGGTATAAGGGTAATAGTTTTAATACAGGAGTAATAAAAACAACACACAAGTGATCATCTTCAAGAGGAAGATGATCAAGAGGAAGATGTGATTGAAACACATGTCAAGGTGTTAAAATAATGGTTTGGTGTTGGAAAAAACTCCAGTAATGTTATTTTAGGAAAGATTATTGATATATCGACAGATGGAGCACGAGCAAAGTCAAACATGGAGGTAGGAGTATCGGAAAGGCTATTTCAATACATTAAAAAGGTCAGGGGAAGGAAAATATTCGTTAACCACTGCATAATTCATCAGGAAAATTTGTGTGCAAAAAGATTGATTTTGTCAAATGTCACAGTACCAATGATTGATTGAACTTATCAATTTTATAAAGTCGCGAGCGTTAATTTAGCGTGAATTTAAATAATTCTTGACAGATTTAGAAACTGAATATGGCGACGAGGTTTTTGATACCGAAGTACGTTGGCTTAATACAGGTGCAATGCTAAAAAGAGTATAAAACTTGAAAAGCGAAATACAATTGTTCTTGGATATAGAGGGATATGCCTTTCCTCATTTTGGTAATAAAGAATGGATGTGCGATTTCGGGTTTCTTATCGATATGACTCGGCATCTTAATGTGGAACTTCAAGGCAAAGGACAATTTATTCACAATTTGTATGATGAAGTTCAGGGCTTTGAGCGCAAATTAAAATTGTGAAAACAGCATCTTTTGCACTACTTCTCAAAAATACGAACAATATATAAGACATTTTAATTAACGAATTTCAGTTACGATTCCAAATATTCAAACCTGAGAAGACATCGGTTTCCATGAAAATTGTTTATTCGCCATTTAATATCGATGTGGATACAGTTCCCGAAGACTTTCAAAAATGGAAGTGATTGACATGCTGAATAATACCGATTCAAAGAATGTATTTTTCTCAGCAAACGTGGAAAATTTTCATAAATCTCATGTGACCCCTGACAAATTTCCGCTTTTGACGAAAAATGCAAAGCAAATGATGTCTCTGTTCGGAAGTACGTATGTTTGCTAACAATTATTTTCAACCATGAAATTAATCAGAAATGGCCACAGATCAAGGCTGAGTGATGTACGATTAGAAAGCTTCGTAAGTGTAGCTACCTCATCAATTCCGACTGATATTGATTATCTTGTATCGAAAAAACAGTGCCAAATTTATCATTAAAAATTTCAAGTAAATTCGTATTCCTGTTCTTTTCTTGTTTGTTTTTTGCATGAAAATTTGTAAATATATGAAATCTTTTTTTTTTTTTTAATTTCATATTTTTTATTCTAATGATTATTATAAATAAAGTTTTGTGAATTAATAGATGTTACTTTATGTGCGTCCCGCCAAAAAAATTTCAAAATTTAAATTGGCCCGTTGATTAAAAAGGTTGCTCATCCTGTACTAGACTATTTTAATTTCAAACTCACGCATCATTCTAAATGGCATACACAGCCACCATAGCATTTGCTAAAATTTTATTGACCAAAAGAATGAGTCTTCATTGAGTGGGACATTTATTCTAATACACCTCTAGTTTGATGATTATGAATTTGAAATTTAAAGACAATGAATTCGTCAAGGTATTACTTTAGCAGATTATTTAATTACCATACCTCAGATATACCCATACCCATTACTCAGATACGTAAAATTTCAGAAGACTTTTTCACTGAAATACTTCCACAGAAATTGATGTGAGCTTCATCAATCGTATTACAGAATATATACGATATGATAAGACTCTAATAAAGAAGTATATTTCTTTGAATTTTTCGTTAGGTATAACTAAAATGAGCATTTAATGAAAAGGTGTTATCTGGAATGAAACCCAAGTACTCATAAATCGTTTTTCTATGACTTGAAACCAATCACAATTCATAAGTAACTTTCTCTAGGCTAATCACATAGATGCAAAATCATAACTTTACAGTTGTCTTTCAACTATTTTCACTAAAAATTGAGCCTTGATAACTTTCGACTTCAATAATTGTTACAAACTTAATCACTGAAAGAAAAGTAAGAATAAAAACAGACTCGAAAAATGAAAACGAGTGAATCTGTTTTCCGTTAACCAGCTGTCGAACCCTTACGAACGACAACCCTCAGAAGTCGAAACTTGTGCGAGCTAAGGACTAACGAGGTCTTACCTTCTAACGTGTGATTCCCCACTAGAAATTTGTAATGTAATTGATATTTAAAAAAAAGTTTGTCACTTGATAACGAAATGGAAATGATTAGAAGAAACTCAATAACTTTATGTCACACTAACTTGTAAACGGCTTCTTGGAGTAGTGCTCAGAACTCTGGGCTAGTGTGCTAGAGGACCTGTGTTTAATCGCAGGTAAAATCATTTCTCGCTCAATTTTTGACTTATTTGAAATTGAATGAAATAACAAAAATAGAAAATATTTCTGAATGCCTTTTTTGAATTACTTCCTGTTATGAAATTTGATGATATAACAAATATTGTTTTTTAATGATCCTGTTATAGTTATACCATACTTCAGTATAGTATTCTACTCGCGAATAAAGTTGATTACTCACTCGAATGATCTGCAAATTTCATTCTCTCATTCATTGAATAATATGATATTACCAAATTCATATAATATTTACTGAATTATTATACACAGTTATATATTATAATAAAATGATGCTGTTTTTTTTTAAATGAAACCATATGGAACATTATTCCTTGGCAAATATGATGCCAATAAACACACTTTCGTAAAGATGTCTTTATCAAAAATAAATCATTATTGATATCTAAAATATACTGTTATTCATTATTTAGATGATTTCGTTTTCTTAGCTATTGCTTTTTGAAATTAAAATTGATAAATGAACTGTTTTATCATCATAGATATAAATTGAGTTGAATGTCAAAAATCAAGTGCTCCTATTAAATTTCATTAGTTCATTGTTTAATATGATAGATATAATATGATCTGAAATCCCTGAAAATAACAAATATAATTGAAAATTAAAATGAATTTCTGAAAATAACAATTATATTAAGCGAAAAATTTAAAATACAACCATTAAAATTAACTAAAAATTAAAAGATTTCAAGCCAAGTTACTTCATGATGTTTTGATTGTTAGTATCCACAATCGTCTTCGGGTGATAACTGGACTATTCCTCCGAGAGATGACTATTTATAGGTTAAACGAGTGCTAACAATCGAAACGTCGTGAAGTAACTTGGCTTGAAATCTTTCAAATTTTAGTTCTTTCTAATTGTTCAATTTTTTGTTTAATTGTTATTTTCAGTCATTCATTTCAATTTTCAATTCTATTTGTTCTTTCAGGGATTTCAAATTATATATCACATTTGACAATGGAAGTCCTAACTAATGAAATTCACCATGAAACATTGTCAACCACCTTCAAATAAGTAATCACATTATTGAAAATTTAATGATTGATTCACTTTGACAAAAAGTTTCATTTGCTATTTCTACTATCAATAAACATGTCAAAAAATTTTTAGGCGGATCTTCAGGCGGATCAGATCAACTCAAAGATGCAGCAGCAGGTCATAGCAGTGCGTCTGATAGTGATTTGACTTCGCTGGGACCCAGATCGGCCATGCCAATGACCAGTGGCAATGGTAATGGCAGCTCCAATGGTTCTGAACAGAGTAGTGGGACTCAAGTGGCAACTCAGGCCAAAGATATTGCCGGTAGTAGACAATCTTTTAAAATTGCTATGGGAAATCCTTGCGAGTTGTTTGTTGATGTTATGTAGAATGTTATTTTTTATAAAACGGCGCGCATGGAGGATAACTGTGTTCATTGAAAATGTGTAAATTGCATGACTTCCTTCATTTTCTATTCAATCTGCATTTGGTAAAAATTTCCCATTATATATAATTGTACTGTACTACTGAGCCAGTCCAAAACTGATAATACTATGAATTCTGTGTTTATCAGTAGCATTTCTATCAATTTAAAGTTGTTAGTAAGACTCAGCCCAAAATGAGACAGAAGGGCAAGTTACTTAGTAAGTACTCATCTATCATGGTACAGAATGGGGTCATTTTAACAGTTTTATATTCTAAAAATGAAATCGAAGTAATTTGAAGATGATGGAAAATGCCATCAATTTGAAATTTTCGCCATTATATTCTGAATGACAAGCACTAAAATATATAGATATTAGATTTGACTATACTTTTGACTTTTCGGTGCGTTTTTATCTTGAAAATGTTTAAAAAGAGTGATATTTTCATTAAATGGTAACTTTGTGATTGACTTTTTGGTTACTTTCTTTTTATAGTATTTTTGTTATTATTTCTCTGAGTAAAATGTCGAATTTGAACACAGTTTTCCTTGAAATAATTTTTACCACTAGTTATCAAAGCACAAGTTATTGCTTTATATGTATAGTATATAACCAGATTTTTTTTTGTATATTGAAAGTATATTTATAAATTTTAGAAATATTTAAACATGTACACGACAGTAAATAATTTTTATAAGATTGTTTTAATATTATAACTATTTCTTTAAACAGCGTTATTTCTTATACATTTGATGTATATAATACAGTTTATATAATGCCTGGTGAAATCTGATAATATTAATTTACCACTCAATAAGTATTTATTCAATATCATTCACTGGTGCCATGCACTTGAAGCTTGTTTAAAAGAACGGAAATAATTTTTGATGAAATCAAAATCATAGAAACTATGGATTGTACTAAACTGACACAATTTTGAACCACACAGTTCCAAACAGTTCTTTGTTTTCCAATTAAATTTGACAATATTTAAATAAATTGATGGATATAGCCGTTTCTACGGGGTAGGAGAACATTGTGAAAAATAAGAAATAAAACTATCTGTTTTTTTTTACCACTTGTATTGTAACTAACATTATTGCAGTGTCGTCATATAAGAATATTTTCAAATGAATACAATAAACGCATTCATTTAAAAATGTTTTTATAGGACGAAACTGCAGTAATGTTAGTTCAAATACAAGTGGTAAAAAAAAGTTTTATTTCTCATAAGACAACATTTGATGAAAATTCATGATGAATTTTTTTATTAGGTTGTTGACATTTCCAGAAACAACTCTACATATGCTTTCCCAGTTTTTTGTTCTTGCAGTACGGTTGCATAAGAAGGCCATTGCCTACCTTTCATAAGTACTCAAATTGTAACTAACTAATATACTTTATTGTATGATTTACACTATAAAGGGTTTTACAAAAACCGCGTCACCTGTTTCGCTATACATTAGCTTTCTCAAGCTTAAAATAAATAAAAATGCTTGTGAAAGCTATTGTATAACGAAACACATATCGCTGTTTTCAAAAAAACCCTTTATAGTGAAAATCATACAATAAAGTGTATTAGTTAGTTTTAATATGGATTTTTTTCAAGTATCGGCCAGTTCTATTCAATTATACTCAAATTGTGAATAAATCTGGTATTTTTTGGAGGAGTCTGGTAATACTTGTTATACTTCCATCGCACTTAGAACACTTCATATTATAAGAGTAAAATCAGCACCATTGATATGGCTCACACCATATTCTTTGAAAGGTATCTTTTATCGAGGAGTCGATGTTTCTTACTGTTTTTTGTATGTTTAACCTTCCACAATCTGAAAAATCAATGGAGCTGAATTAAAAAGTTCTGCGTAACTGGTCGTATTCATAAATGTTGTTTACCAATTGAATAATCAATGGGAAAATGAAATGTTTCCATTGATTGAAAATTTCCAAAAGATTGACCATGGGAGAATGACTCAATAAGCCATGAGGCTGCAGAATTGACAAGTATGTTTTTCGACTGGTCTAAAAATTCGGAATTTTCAGTTCCATATTGTGAATTGAAGTTTTATTTATAATTTTAAGCAATGTAAATGTGAAAATGAAAATATTTCAAAACCATTACATATGCATGTTACCTATTGGCATCACTTGTTTCTGAAAGGTAACCACCAATTCTGCTGGAATTCCCACGTTGGCAACAGTAACTTTAGGATGTTTCCAACTTTCATCCAAGTGAACAAATCAGGACAGTTTATCCAGCTATTGGCCGCTAATACCTGTACTTAAGAAACAATTTAAAAGATATTCAATATTTTTTACAAATAATCAGATTTTGTGAAAACATTCATTATTTCAAATCATTTTTTTTTTCATTTCAATAATTAATGAGAATTGGTTCAATAGTTAAGAGACTTTAATGGACTTTTCATTCATTATCTTGTTATGCTACAACAAAATAACTTTAATTCTTAGTATATTGTGCAACTGATAGATATATAAATGTTCACATCCTAAATTTTGTCTATTTCAGTTTTTTACCACAGGTATTACAGATTCAGTATTACAAGTACTTTCAAAAATATCTACAAAACTTACTTCAAACAAACCAAATATTTTTTTATTCCACAGATTAAATAAAATTTGCTAATTGTTTATTTGTAACTTGTTATTTGTGAGATTTGAATATATGGACAACCTTGTAGCAGTTATATAAAAAAAAACAAAGAACTAGTTTGAATAAATTGTTATGAAATAATAGAATGTGCAGTTTTCAATAGTGCAATCTCTTTTTTTTAAGTTGTCATTATAGAGTCTAACATATATTCAAAAATTAAAAAATGCCCATTTTCAAAGACGAACTTACTGTTACTATAATATTAGTACTCAGTAGTGTAAACGTCCTCAATATCAGATTTCAATAGATGATAAGATGATAGTTTCATGAATTGATCCATGCAAGTGTTCAAAAATTTACTACAAATATTGAAGATCGCAATAAACCAGTGTTGCATTTATGAACATTGTAAGCAGAAATACATTCACATGTTATAATATTGTTGCATGAGGCATGTAGAAAATAATAAATCAACCTATATTTTCTCTTTTGTTTCATTTAGAAATTTGTGCAGTATAGTAACGATAAGTATACACATAACATTGCTTCCTGCATGAATCAACTTTAAAAAGCTTGTGCAGTAGATTCAAACCAAATAATGATACTTGCTTCTACTCGATATCTGTTCAAGAAGTCAAAGTTAGTATGAATTCATACTTTTGTTTATACAAACCATTTGAATTATGTGAATTTGTAGTTATGTGCATAATATTTTATATTCACTTTAAAGAGAAAAGTCCTTAGATAGCTCCAGAAATTGCAGTGTTTTTACTCCTAAAAGTATATCTTTCACTTCTCAAAATAAAGTAACTTTTGGGAGTTGAAAAAAAACAAAAGGGTTAGTTTTTCAAAGTGTATCTCACATATGGCCTAGAATATTGTGGCGTCAGCAATAAAAATAGTAATAGTGTTCGAAGTTGATTTGATTGAGATTGAACTTATCCAAACTTGTTGCCATCTTCTCAATCAATGTGAGATATTTCCATCTCATACATCTATTTCTTATCATTCCTGGAAAAAATTAGTAGATGAAGCCTTTGATCTTTTATTTAACCATGTGGAATTATTACATCCGTTTGAACATCTTAACCTTGTCTTTGAAATTTAAAATAATTTTTAGGCATAAGTTTCAACATTTTCATGGTTGCCTGCCAGCCGTTATACTTTTGTAACATATTTCCGGTAAAACACTGCAGACCATATAGAATATTACTTTGTACAAGTTTTTTAATTTTTGATCTCAATGTTGGTTGTCCATCAGTGTATATTCAAACTAGCAGTTAAAAATATTTCCTTTAGCTTATAAACATATTCAGCTTTTCTTTGTCCTAATATAGAGTCGTTTCCTTTGGCATACCCACCCTGTGTGCATATTGTTCATAATTCAGTGGTCTGTTGTGTCTCTAATATGCCCTTCAAGAAATTTTTTCAGTATTTTCAATGACCTGAAACTTATTATTAGTCACAGACCTTCACTAAATCCTGTCTAAATTATTCAAGGTTTTGGAATGAAAAGGGGCCCTATTCCATCTCTATGTTGCAGGTATGTTTCAAAACTAAATTTGATCTGAGGATTATACAACTTTTTTAAATAAAAGTTTTGTCCCTTTTCTGCAGCATTATGACGTCTTTCCACAACATACATGGTCTCTGCCAATTCTCCCTAAACTCTATTTTGATGGGCTGAATTTTTCTAGGACTCTGAAATTGTGTTAACTGATTCGGAAAATCTCTCTTATAATTCTTCCTCATGTTTTTGTGTCTTTTCCAGCATTTATTTTTAGATTATCTACCGAGATGTGTCTTTCCTCAGAAAGCATCTTGTAGAATCTACATTATACTTGGGTCTGTCAAACCTCTTCGCATTGCCCTCTCTTTTGTCTCTGAAATTTCCTCAAGGTTTTATAGTTTTATTAAGAGATTAATTATATTTTACCTACGCAACAGTATTTCTTGCAAGTTTTTGAATATTTCTGTTTGAATTCTGGTTAACTGCCTAAAAATATTAAAGCAGGGTTGTTATATGAGTGCAGTATCAAAACTTTCCCATATTCTTTGTAAGTACTGCCAAGTCATCCTAAATGTGTTGTAGGTTAGCTTGTACACATTTTATTGGGAGTCCAAGGAGTCACTCTTAGAGTCCTCTCTCTGTTCATACTCCTAGTTCATATAATTATGTATGAGAGAAGGTAAGCAAGACTAAATACTCCGAGAGATCTCTTGACATCCCAGATACTCTTATGGTGAAACATGATAAGGCCTGGGTACCATTCATCTATCGATGTGGGTCACACAAACTGAGTCGATTAAGCTTTCTTTTCAGTTGGCAAGGAACATCATAGACTAATTTTTGCCGCAGGGGTGCCCTAGATCAATCTCAGCTTATAAATTGCAAGATGTCTTTCTCATAAAAATAAATTATCAAAAACATTTTTGAGTCAGACATATTTTGAATATTCCCTACTTTCTTGGGTTTTTCGAGGAAATCGATAAATCCTCTTTACTTTCATTTTTGAGTAAATTTTCCAGATTTTACAGTTGTGAATTTCATATGTGATTACTGACATTAACGGCTGATTCATACATCAAACTCTTACTTTAACAAAAGTTCTGTGGGTGAGTATTCTTTCTTTAAGGATTCCTTGAAATATATGAATGTGCATGCTTCAACTGACTGTGGTCAATACTATCCGAAAAATAACCCTGTTCTTTGTTGATATTTAGTATTATATGTGAAATGTAAGTAATACCAACATTCATATTTTCTCAACTTTATGTGACTTGTGACTCTGAACGTTCACAATTTCAATTTTTTTATCAATGACCTTGAGTCCGAGAGAAAAAAATTGTTGAATCAAAACACCCTAAATACACATATAATCAATTTTGATTTATAAATAATGAAGTGAATGTTTTTTGTATGAATCAACCATAACGATAGCTTTTTTATATCTCTACTTAAGTGAGTTAAATTTCGAAAGATTTTAACCTTCTTCTAGTACTTTTTGCATTTGGCATGTGTTTCCGTTCATCAGAATTCTTCTTAAGTTATCACTTCTACAAAAAATAAACTATTGGTCAAATTATCAAGAAATTTGTAAATTATGGAAGA